TTCGCGCGTCGCGCATCCTCCCGCGCCCACTTGGCGGACCATATTTCAGCAACGGATTGATGGATTTTGATTTAAACAAATGATAATTATTTATTACACAAAAAGGAACAACTTTTGTCATGAACATTTTCTTCTATTTGCCAATGTTTCCCATAAAAAAAAATCATCAAAAAAACCACTTAATTTGTTTATAACTATTAATTGCACGCACTTACATAAAAAATACCACCGGATTCGGATTTCTCATACCCGAAAACATAAGAAAACACCTCAAAACCTTACCGCACTAGAAGTGCACACGGGAAGGGGGTATTGCGTGTGGACACAACCATCTTTAGTCTCTCATAGATATTCATATTATCAACTACCTTCTGAATATGTAGAGTCTTAGAGATTTTTCAATTAAAGTGTTCATTGATGGTTAACCTCACTTTATTCTTGACACTGGAGCGGCTGTAGCGCCTTGTTGTGACTCTACTACGAAGTGTAGGGAGTCGTGACGTCACTCCCTCGCTGGGATAATTTTTGATAATTTCTACACGGAGAAAAAAGTGCGAGACGAATACTCGCATGAATAAATTTTCTTCGCCGACTCGGGAAAATTTACTAGACGTTTCCATCCACACGGAGAGAAATATTCAGTAAAAATTACGGAACTCTCTGGAAAAATTCCGTGACAGTTCCGTAAAATTTACTACAACCACCTTTCGCTCCAGAATTGCGGAAAAGATACGTAATTTTGATTGAATACTTCCTTCCGTACACAGATGTATTTTTTTACCAAATGAATTGTAAGATATCCTCCGTCAAATAATCTATTTCGAACGAGCGTGTGATAGTATATTTCGCGTCGAAAACCCCTGTGACTTTCACTTTTGCCAGTGCGGGGAAGGGTCAATACCAATCCCCGGGCTGGGAAAAGTGAAGGTCAGTACGGAAAACGTGTTTTTCATCACTTGTACGGAAAGTGAAATTTTACGCACACTCGCGGTCTTGAGCGATCCACTCCCCCAATCTTGAGCTAAACACGATGAAAAGCAGTCCATTTTACCCCAGTTGCCACTAATAATTCATAAATAACAATCAATTTGAGAACTTTATGTTAGAAACCAAAAGTTACATAAATGATTTCACTAGTGATGCCGTCAAGACTAGTCGAGAATTATTTTGAAGAGATTATCACGGTCTGGAAAAACATCGAAAGTTTTGGAATCGTCGCAATCTCGAAAGACATTGGATCGGTGCATCTGGTCTCAATTCCGGGAGGATTTATCTTGCCTGGATCTCGAGATTTTCGGTTTTTTAAGTTCACGAGACGAGACGAGACAGATATCGAGACAAACATTTGAAAAACAGAAAATACTGAAACTCAGACGTGATGGATTCCTCCAAGTTCGTAACGAGATGCACCGATCCAATGTCTTTCGAGATTACGATGATTCCTAAACTTCAATGTTTTTTTAGACCGTAATGATCTTTCCGAAATAAGTCTCGTCTAGTCTCGACAGCATCACTAGATTTCACACCTAAATTTTGATAACATTAACTCATTTATTTAGAAATATTTGTTAACTTCATCAAAAATTCTCTCAGGAAGCCTCAATCTCCACTCGCAGTGATCAGAGGATGAGAAATTGTTCTTCGATACTGGCTTATATGAATGTAGCCATGAGAACTCATTGGCTCCACCTGAAAAGTGTTCAGACTTTTATCCAAAATATACCAATGGCAAATGACACCTATATTTTTGCTATTACCGACATGAGCATATTCGCTCAAAAACTCCCTGTTTCGCAGAGTTTTCCCCTCTGAATAACCGAAATTCAGCACATACCCTAATAAACAAGTAGGATATTTTTCCTCCTGAAATAAACACCAATCACCGATATCGATTTCCTTCAATTCTTTCACAAAATACTTTTTCTCGCTTTACAAAGGGTTCTTACGTCGATGACTAGTATTATATTTCTCGTTATTTCTTCGTGCCAAACTCACTGAAGTCTATCACTACTGAGTTTTGAATGATCTTTATTAAATAACCAACATATTGAAGATTTACAAACTGTTGATTCTTGGCCTGAAGTATGTGAAACTATAACGCATGGACGTTCTGGATCCATACGATACTAAGCACATACATTTGTCTGGGAGTAAGTAAATATGAAATTCGCAGAAAAACCAGTATGGCAGTGAGTACGGCATTTTATTATCATCGTTGGCAGGTGTGTCAATTTCAAAATCACAAATGACTTGCACGATTCGGACTACACGTCAGTGCGCCACTGGTTTCGGTGATTTCATTGATTGCAGACGATTTCACGTGATTTTGGAAATGATTTTGAAAATAATTTCGGAGAGTTGAAATCACTTGATTGCAATGATTTCGAGAGTAGCCCCTCATTTCGTATAGTAAAATTCGCTGCAATTTTGTAGATAATTTTTATTCAACGTTTCTCTTCATATATTCAATAAACAAAATGATAAAATTGTGAAAGTCTTGAAGTCTAAACAATTAATTTAATTAATTCGTATATAAAAGAATAATTCTAGGAAAAATCTCTATTATTCTATTGTCCATGTATATTCGCATTTTTATGGCAATATCTAATGGGTGCATTAGAAACGAAGCGGAATGACTACTGCAATCCACAATGTCATTTGGAAAATAGCGAGAAATCATGAAACAAAATTATGAAAGGCAGGAAAAAAACTATTTCCGATAAATGGACACATAAGCGTCTATTTGAGAACATGATATCATCATTGCCTATCGCACGTTCCGCTGTTATTCATTCCCATACATATTCTTCGTTGTATAATTCTATGCTCATATGTGCTTGAAGCGACGGACAGCTAACTTTTACGTAATTTATTATTCACAGAACAGAATAGTTTGGGAACTTACACGCTGTAAAGGTCACTGGTATGACGACCCTGAGGATCGCTACGTTCAGCCAGTACTGGGCCATCGTGATTTCTCCTTCGCTTCCAGGTTTTATGCCGCTTCACCCTGAAATAATAAAACAAATACGACAAATCAATAAATGTATCCTATTCCCTTGGGAAAAATAGTGTTGTCAATAGATTATCGATCACTCTTGGATGGATACAATATTTCTAATGTGATTCAAAGGTTTCATCGTTTTTCATACAGTTTTACAAATTCAATTGAGTTATAAGAATGATAAATTACAAAATTATAACAAGAAATTGATTAATTTATTATTTCCGAATTAAGGGTTGAATCGAATATTTCTTTTTTATAAAGAACGTGAGTAACTGAATAATTCCTCAACTTTTTGATTAACATTTAAGAATTGTGAATAGAATTATTTTCCAAACTGCACAGAGCGAAAAATTGGATGAAAATTACCTAGAAAATCGTGGAAATTTTACTGTACGAATGGTAATCGAAGAGCGAAATGTAATTCAATAACTAACGCGAAGCAAAGAAACGAGTGGGTCACGTTTTGCAGCAAAATTTTAAAAAAATTCAATGAAGGTTCTAGAAAGTTATCAAAAAACTCCCGACTGATACAGCAGTTTTCTGCTGGGGAATTTTTCCATTAATTTTGCGTGATTTTAGCGTATAGTTTAAATGATGCGTCAATTGGGAGAGCACCCGATGCGAAATCGGACAGTCCCAGATTCAAATCTTGGTCGGGATAATCCATTTTTTCAGTAGATTTTTCTAGGAAACTAATATCAAGAATCATACTGGGTCCAGCCCTACCTACACTGTGATTTTTTTTAAATTTATATCGAAGATATTACAGTAAATCTCATGATAGTAACATTGAATCGGAGTTAGGAAAAAAACGGTTATGAAATTTCAAGTTTTAAGTAGCATTCACAGAAGTTCATGAGTTTTCATCTAGAGTGAGATAGAAATTTCACAACTTGATTGAATTTTCAGTGGACCATGAATAGTCAGAAACAAAATGACATAAATTTTCAATTTTTCCCTAAATTTTCCGATTTTTTTTCAATTTTCACAAAATAATTGAACTAAAAAATCAAGTATTTTGTCAATTTCCAGATCATTTGAACAGGAAATCAATGGAATAGAATATTTGATTTTTCAATGACAAGATTTCCTGAAATTTCACTGGAATTTGAACACGAGAAAAATTTCCGGAATTTGGTACAGAAAATTCAGACCAAAGGTTTTTAACAATGTACTCTAAAAATCCTACCCAACAGTATCCTGTAACGTCATAAGATGTGGAACGCTATATAAACTTCCGTCCTCGGATTTCGATGATTTTTAGTTCTGGGTTTAGTTTTGCCTGCAAAACTTGACACCGTTACTTGTTTACAACGAAGCTTTCGGAAATTTCCGATAATTTTGCAGGTCTCGGAGTACTACAACTGAAAATTAAAAAAAAATCTTATCGTGTAGATGAAGGTCAATTAGGGTCACTGCAATTCTCGACCTTATTTTACGAGACCGCGTGCCATGCAGAAGTAATAATTCACGATAAAAGCATACCGAACAGATTACAGTCGAAAATTCTTTAAAAATGTTGTCAGAAGCAAAAAGTCCTGCAACCGTGCCAAGAGTCCAGATCGATACTTCCTCGCAGACTGCAGTACAATGAGCAAAATCAGAAAGCATAAGGGATTTGTATTGTCTGCACTGAATAGCATTTCCGAGTGGTGTGTGCAGAGGGAGTGAACGACCTCGAAAACGTTGACATTACTTTGTGTAATGATAATAATTGGTTCGGGGATATCTTTGGGCCGTTTTCGGCCACACCCAGCTTAATTACCCGTCAATTACAAAAGGCCTGTTTCTGGTTGTGGTTCGATCGAAACATGAGATACTGTTTATTTTTTACTGTCTCTTTTCATTGGGCGACGGGGGATTCGTGCTGCAGAGACGACTCGTAGGAGTTGAGTGGGCTTAGTTAAACTATTTTAGGAGAACAACGAATGTGGGTCCAGATGAATAAAGAGGAAGTATAACGTCGTGACGATTAAAGAATTGAGGTGTGAAGACCTACCTCGGAGGCTGTTCTTCACGTACGAGAAAATTTCGCACAGACACTTAGGGCATTCGATAACTCTGCAAAAGCTAGTGTTTTCGCAATGTGTGTCTTCTTGAATATTTATTAACAACATCTGGCTGTGAATTTTCATGTCAATAAGTGAATATCAAATGAATTCCGCAATTTTGTTTGACGACATTGGACTTTTCATTGAATATTTCAATAATTTATTGTTATTCACTTTCATTGTAAAGATGAATTTTACATGTGATGAATTGTTTATATTTTGTTTATTTTATAATACATGTAATGAAACCCTTGTTACGATTTTTGTGTCAGTTTCTTTACTCTCTTGTAATTTTTTAGTTGAATGATAAATGAGATATGAGTTGGTGAAATAAGTTCAGAAAAGATCGAAATCTCATGGACAATTTACTGGTAATTTTGAGGAGAGAGACATTGAATTCAATTTGAGGTGGACAAAACTGTGACATTATGAGTGTCAATTCGATGGAAATCCGATTTTTTGAACAGCAAATGAATTCCGCAATTTTGTTTGACGACATTAGACTTTTCATTGACTATTTAAATAATTTATTGTTCTTCACTTTCATTGTAAAGATGAACTTTACATGTGATGAATTGTTTATATGATGAAATGAGTTGGTTCTTTGTCTTGTAATGAAATTAGATGGTTCCGTGTTGATTAGTGGTAGAACCTTTTTAGGCCATGTCTGGATGTATGTATGAATGGGTGGTCTATGTAACTGATAGTTTTTCGACAATTGGAAAAATAATCGTTTAACACTGTTGGCGGCGCAAAAATTCGACATAATGATAAATTTGAAAGATCTAGGAAAATCTGAAAAAAAAATCAGAAGTGATCTAGATCGTATTCTTGAAGAAGTCCAGTGAGACTATTTTATGTTCAGTATTACTCTTAATTATGTATTCAAGCTCAAAGTTGCCATGTTTTTCTGAAAGTTCGCTTTATATACGGCATACAGCGGGCTGTTTCGGAATAAAAATTTGAAAATCTAACTAGTAATAATATTTTTGGGGGATATTTTCATTGATAGAGCTTCTAGACAATTCAAAATGAGATGCCAAATTTTTCCAAATTTTTCTGAAGCTTTACTGTAGTGTAATTTAAAAAATTGGAAAAAGTGCGGCGCAGCGCTCATAGCGCGACCAACGAAATGATAAATGAATCCAATTATGATTTAAAAAATTCTTTTCTGTACTGCTTCTCACGATTTCTCGTCTGGAAATTGTTATCGCATACTTCCCAAACTCGAAAACTTGAAAATCACTACAGAAAAATAGTGTTCCTGGGCTGTTGCGATGGGTTTTTTTTACTCGTGTGGTTGGCCAGTCCTCGCCTACGGCTCGGAGGCCAACGCCACACGAGTAAAAAACCCCATCGCAACAGGCCGGAAAAATACTATTCCAATGCCATCTTGACTGAGTTTGATCATGAGATTAATTGCATCATCTGTTGTTGAAAAAATTTATTTATTCAATGAATCATGGAATTCAATTTCAAATGCATCATCATAGCAATTCCATTCGAAAGCAAATTACAACTGAATTAGCAAAAATATATTGATTATGTTGTGAAGAAAGCAATTTTCCCCTTATTTTCATCAAATTGAAAATTGTCAATGACAACATTCTCTTAATAAAAATGTCTAACAAGTACCAGAAATTTCCGTCAAACACTTTCAAAAGTGTAAAATTCTGCGAAAGTCAATTCCAGAAAAACTGAATGGAATAAAAATTGCGATGACAAAGCCATGAAACCTGAGAGACTTATAAAAGAATGCAAGAGGAATAATTGTGAAGGCAATGCGGAAAGGTGTTGGCTTACGTGTCTGACGCATTGTCCATATGCAAGATGTGCAACGGCGTTAATGCACTCTTAAAGATGCTAATCCATAAATGTAAAATCTCTTGTCATGACCAGACGTCAATTCTCCACCTCTCGCCAACTCGTTACCATTCTCTATCACCCGTAAAATCTATTGGCTATTATTTGTGATTGCACAATGAGTTTGCTCGGTGATTCATTGTTATATTAAGTGAGGTTGATCCCTTTTTTGTTTGGGATAGGATATCACGTATCAGAATGAACGGAAGAATGGGAGGAAATGTAGGGTACACTGATCGATCGGCCGAAATTCCGGTTTATACGGCACAAGGTGCGTTCGGAGGTGGAGGAGAGTGTTAATAAAACTGAGGTGGTTAATTTAACGACTGCTGCAGTGACGACAGACGAACTTTATAGTTTAACAGAATCGATGGGGTTTCTCTGTAGCCATTCGGCCTTCGAAATAATACAAACGACGTCAATTTTGAAGATCAAAATCTGAAATAAATTCTAAACAGAATTTATGTCAATATAAATATTCTGGTTGAGTTTGTGCTGAATCGGCCGCCTATATCTACTACTGCACCCAGAAAAATGGTTTATTAGAGTCAAATAAAAAATTTATTATTGAGTGTATGGCCGAGTCGGTAAGGTGTCCGCCTAAAAGCCAGTGGTCCTGGATTCGCAACCTGGCACCGGCAAATTATTTCTGGATTATTTGATTTAGTAAGAATGTTTGAAATAAAACGTTAAAATACAGAGAGAAAATAGAATTGAGCATGTTCGAATCATGTACATACAACCTACAGTTTCACGTGTTTCCAGAACCTAACTGACTACAGTTGATGCTCACAATCATGTGTGATTGCATTCTGATCATTTACTTGAAATACTCTCATAACATCGTAACCTGCAAGATACGGAAGAAATAGTCGTGAGCTCTAACGACAAGAAAGAGTCGAGAGCCCATCACTAATGACCTAGCTGTTGATGAGACGTTAAACCCCAACAAACAAAAAAATTGGTGGGCTAAACGGCCACCTATCCAAGTACTAATCAGACTAAACGCTATTTAACCCTAGATTGGTAACACTATGGGGGAAACTCC